AGGTCGCCTAACTTGAGGTGGCAGGAAATCATCATGTTAAATGACAAAGTGTTTCTTTGGGGCATTCGGTCGAACAGTTCGCGTGCCTCAGAAATTTGGTTCCTTTTAAGTAAATCTTGGAGCTGGTTATTGTGGCGGCTCGTCTCTAGGTTGAACGCTGTTTTGATGGCGTAGGCGTCTATGGCATCCGTGCCGTATTTTCTGAAATTTTCTAACCGATTTCACTTTTTTTCCTCCTTACTCAAGCAATCAGCAAATAGAAGAATAGCCAGAGAATAATGGAAAAAATAACAAGAATAATAATAATAATAATAATAATAATAATAATAATAATAATAATAATAATAATAATAATAATAATAATAATAATAAAGAATTATAAGATACCTATGTGTAGAATACAATCTCTTTACAACCACCACAGTTCTATTCCATTTCCATTGGTTCACAACCTTTGAATTGTTCATGTGGCTAAATTGTCGACCTGGGGATGGGAAGAGTAATGGGTACTTCATAGATGCTCCAAGAACGGACAAATTTTGGAAGAGTAAACATTGGGGCCTTTATATTAATTACCTTTGGGGAAACTAAGCATTTGTTCAACATTGAAAGTGTCTTGTGGAGGATGGAGGATTCATTACAGCTGAAACAGCTTAGTAAACAGAATGATATCCAATAAGAAAGTGACACAGCTTAGTAAAGAGAGACATATTAGCAATGTCTTCTGTTCGGAGAAGATACGGAACCTTGCATATAGATTATAATATATGTAAGCACACATGAGTCACACGACTCATGTACATGCAAGCAGAGACAGAAAAGAAAAGGGAAGTATGCTTCATAATGTAATATGGCTACATAACCATGAAATGATTGATTCGTTCTGAATCTTATAATCATTTTACCAACAAAAGAATCACCAGAAGCAATATCAGCAATATATTTTACAGTTAAAATAAGAGGAAAAAAAATATGAAAAGCTTCCCTCAGTGAGAAGTTCAAAAGAATGCACAGCTCACAGTAATGAGACTTGGATATACAAAAACAAAACGAATGAACCTTGTTTAAAATGATACACCACAACACAACAACAATAAACGAATAGGTCAAATTCCATAAATGGATTAAGAGATGCCCATAAAAGTATTAATGCAAGTAAACTAAGACAAAAACCCCATTTGAAAGAAAAGTTGAACTAATCATTTAAATCGGTTAGATCCGTGAGCACCAAAAACTTATCCGCCCCATTTTCAGTTTCCTACATAAGAGTGCAAGAACAAAGCACAACCCCAAACAACCAAACAGTAAATAGATACATAGGCAGATATTGAATAGCCTACAAAATGGCCCTCGAATACTAGCACTATCAATTTTGTTATCCACCCACCAAAACTATGTCAAACATTGATGGTGCACCGTATTCAATGTGAACTTGATTGATGCAAATCAATACAATTCATAAACACGAGGAGATGAGAGAAGCTCGATCACACCTACAAGATGCAAACACAAATGAAATTCTATATGAACTACAAAAGGCTGTTTATCACACCGACAATTTGCCGCGGATTTCAAAACCGAAAACAAAAAGGAGCAAAAATAATTCAGGAAAAGGGCATCGATCAATCACCTTGCAGATGAAGTGAAAGCCTCGAATCGTGGAGTAGAAGCCGACCGCCGGATGAAAGCTACTCTGAGTTTTCTCCCTCGCAAAAG